TATGTCTAAGTCAAATAACAGAAACCTTTACCATTAGAGGCTACTGTCAAATTTGTTTTGATTGGCTTGCTCCTGTTCTTTTAGCAAATCCTATTTTTAAGTTAAATAATACAACCTCATTCCTTTTTCTAGAATTGTTACTATGTTGACCTTGTTGCTAGGGTTTCCAAGGAACAGCATCAGCTCCTTAGAGGAAAGCACCTTAACAAACATCACAGACAAAAGGTAACATTCACATTTAAGTAAACATGAAGCGATTTTCTGTTTAACTCAAAGTTCCCTCTGTTGGTAGACTAACATATCTTTGTCTAACTTTAGACTAGTTTGTTTGTAGTCTTTCAGTTTAAAAGCATATATTGGGAGAGCTAGAGAGGGGGAGTGAGGAGTGGATATCATCAAGATATAGTTACACACATAAATTTTCAAACACTAAATTTCAAATTTATATATATATATATATTGCATTCTGCCCTATTTTAATACCAATTGATTTGCTTTTCGGGATGTTTTTAGAAAGCAGTAAATACTAAAACATTTGAATTCTAAGTCTTTATAAACATTAGTTTTGCTGTTTAAAAGATCTGTATTTGAGATCTTGAAGAGCAAACGAAAAAAAAAAAAAAAAGAAAGAAAATCAGGGCTGGGGGTGTAGTTCGCTGCATTAAACCCAGGGTTCAATCCCCAGCACCAGCAAGGAAAAAAAAATCAGTTCACTTCAGAATTGTTCTTTCATAAAATAATTCAGATCCTTCTTTTCTTAAACGAGAAACTGGGGTTTCTTGGAAGTAAAAACATAACATAGTAATGGCCGTATATGGTAATTTAGTTAACAGAATTTGGGAAGAGTATGAAAAGGGCAAAGCGAAATGTCCCCAAACTGTGTTGTTTGTGGAGGCCTGATTTTAAAAACGCAAAGGATCACGGAATAAAAGCTGAGCGCCTGAATAAATTAGTAAGTGGGCAATATTTCCGAATCCAGCTCCCTAGCACCACGCCATGAAAAACAAAACAAAACAAAACAAAACCTAAAAACAACAACATGGTTGTGCGCCTGAGATTTCCGGCCAACCCAGCTGTAAACCAGAAAACCGGCCACATCCCCTAGTAGCTCGGGACTGGGGAAGCGCCAGTTCCCGGGATGCGGCTGGGCTTCTGCCGGGTGATGGGAGGGTCTCCCCGGGCGGACACGAGTCCCGCCGGCTCTACCCGGGCGAAGCGCAGGTTAAAAGTTGCCCGGCGGGGAAGAGGCGGGCAGCCGCCCGGGGACCTCAGGGCTTCTCCGCTGCCTCTTTAAGGGTCAGACCCGCCTCTGGGCGTTGGAAGGTGCAGGAAATGGCGGGCGGGTGGCCGGGGACGGGGTCGCCCAGCCTCGGGCATCCGCCGGCCTCGGCTCCGTCCTCCCGCTCGGGCCGCAGGCTCTGCCGCCCCCTCGCGCCGCCCCGACCCTGCCGCCGGGGCTGCCCGCGGTCCCACCCCGCCCCGCGCGGCCCCTTCCCACCCGGCCCGGGGAACCGCCCGTCACCTGCCCCGCGCTGCTCCGCCGCGCCCGGGCCCCGGATTTTCCGCGCCGCCCTGGCGCGGCTGCCGCCCCGCCCGCCGCTGCCTGGAGACCGCGGTCAACACCGCTCAGCTCGCTCCAGGCCGCGGGCCCTGCGCTCCTGGGCTCGGGACCGTCGGGACCAGCCGCCCCGACTGTCAGAAAAGGAAGGGCAGGGAGGGGACAGCCTTGCCACAGGGGACCCTGCCTGAACGTGCTGAACGTGCGAAGACCTACGCACCCAGGAGAAAGGGATCCAGTTAATGAATGGGTAACCAGACGGAGGGAAGGAGGCCAGGAAGGAAGAAGGGAGAGAAAGGAGGGAGGGAGGAAGGGAAAGAACGCCAAGTAAGCGTTTACTGGAAAGATGCTTAATTCATTAATATTCAGAAAAGGGGAAATCAAGACCGCATAGAGTAGCCTGCTCACCAGACAGGCATCCTAAGGTGAAAAGTTTGGCCAAGTGTTGGTGGCACATGCTGGTAATCTCAGCACTCGGAGGAAGAGACAGGAAGATCAAGAGTTCCAGTCCAGTCTTGGCAAGAGTGAGATCCTGTTCCCAAAAGTTAGAACACACGAACAGCAGACACACACACACACGCACACCAGCTCCAAGTGTGAAGTGTTAAGGGGGTATAAGGACAGGGCTGTTAGAGTGTGAACTGGCACAACACTTTGGAAACTGGCTTGACACTTTCTGGGATATGAATGTATACCTTAGTTCCCAGCAATTTCACCTTTGCATACTTACCTGAAGAAAGTCACAACATCTGTTGTGACTTAAATCTGAAATGACCCCCCCACACACACACACATCATATATTTGAGCACCTGGTTTCCAGCTGGTGGCACTTTGTGTGGTTGTGAGGTCTGCTTGGTAGAGGGGTGTCTCAGACAAGCCTTTTCCGGTTATAGATCATTGCTGAAATCTCTGCTTTTCAAAACCTCAAAACCCCATGATATGAGGGGCCTCCACTACCCTTTCGTACCCCAGTGAATTTGACCATGACTTCTCTTCCTTGAGGGACCAAACCATACTCCAATATAAACTTCTCTTTAAATTTCTGTCAGGTGTTTTGTCACAACTGTGAAGAAAGTAACACGGCATCCAAACTGGAGAATACGGAGATCATCATCAATCACCACAGAGTGGTTCCTGAAAGAGGATAATGAAGCTGGGCCTGGTGGCAAGGATCTGCCTGAGTTCTAGTGACTCAAGCCCAGCGGGCAACTTAGACCCTGTCTCAAAATGAAATGTGAAAACATAGGATTGGGGATACAGTTCAGTGTTAAAGTACTTGCCTAGCATGGTGAAGACTCTGGATTCAATTCCTAGGGCTTCAAGAAGAAAAAAAGAATAATGAACAGTAACAGAAAAATACATACTGTATGATTTTGTATATAAAAATTAAAGACAAGTTAAATCAAACCCTGCTATGTTTGTTAGCAGAAAACTACATAAAATTGTGGGGTCAGTTCTGGTGGGCATGTGAAAGAGTGCTTTTGAGAGTGTAGTTCCTGACTTTAATGACTGAACATTGATGTTCATTTTATTCTATTTAAAATTTTTAATTTATTTTATATTTTATTATTCTTATGGTATGAGTGTATTGCTTGCATGTGTATAAGTGTACCTGTGTTGTACAGAAGAAGGCATCAGATCCCCTGGAACTGGAGTTACAGATGGTTGTTAGCCGCCATCTGGGTGCTGGGAATTGAGTCTGGGTCCTCTGCAAGAACAGTCGGTGTTCTTTACCCCTGAGCCATCTCTCCAACCCCCAGAACATTGGTGTTCACTTTAAATACTTCATTAAAGTGTATATCACTGTCAAAAAAAAGTTTTCAGGGACTGGAGAAATGACTCAGCAGTTAAGAGCACTGACTGTTCTTCCAGAGGCCTAAGTTCAGTTCCCAGCATCCATATGGTGGCTAACAACAGAGGGTAACTTCAGTTCCAAGTGATCCAGTGCCCTCTTCTGCCTTCATGGGCCTTGCATGCATGTGATGCACTTACATATATTCAGGCAAAACACTCATACAAATAAAATAAATATAAATAAATAAATTTTTTAAAGAAGAAAGGAAATGTTGGGAATTATATTCACATTAAACCACAAATAGAATTAAATAACAGTCTTCAAAGAGACCAGAATGTTTCAAGACCGTGTGCTTCATTAATGACAGGAAACAATTGGAAGAATAGTCTTACTACCCAGTCTTACCATTTTCCATTCTAATTCTTATTACAATAGATTTTTTTTTCACTTTTGGGGGTGAGGTGGGGTGAGATAGGGTCTCACTATGTAGTACTGACTGGCTTGGAACTCACTATGTAGACCAGGTTGGTCTCTATCTCACAGAGATCCACCTGCCTCTCTCTGTTCCTGAGGGCTGGGATAAAAAGTATGTACCACCATACCCAGCTGTTTTTGTTTTTGTTTTTCCACTTTTTTTTTTTTTTTTTTCGGCAGTGAGGGCTTTGTATTTTGTGTGCACAGTAGGATCTTGGTGTTCACTGAAGAAATAAAATTGAGTTGTCTGAAAACGGTGTTATCCTGCCATTACACAAATTATTATAGCAATTTAAAACAGGCAGAGGAAACCCATGCAAATGAATTTGCTCCTCATCACAACTTCCAGAATGCATTATTCCAGGGAACCTAGGGACAGTCCTTCACCCCTGTCCACCTTCTCATTGTCACTGCTGGGTGGACATTGCTGCTGTGGTTTCTCATATTCTCCAAGAGCTTTCTGTGTCACCCAGAAAACATTTTCTTCTGGCTTTCTGAAAACCAGTGGCCCCTGTTGATTCAGAAGTCTTAATCTGTCAACCACTTGCAGAGACGAGACGCCTAACCAAGGGGGAATCCCCTGTGCCTGACCTTCCTCCTTCCCCCTCTGTGATGTCTGTCCTGGCTATTTTTTTGGAATAACTAAAGGTTGAAATAACAAGCACAGATGGTAGTCAGGACACATCAGGGGTCTGAAACAATGTCAGGTATTTTAATAATTCAACTTGAAGACAGAATAACTGAAAAGTTGGAAAGGGACCACAAGGCTAGGAGAACTCAGAATGATCCTGAAATTATTAATGTGGAGAAGCCTGAACCAGGGCCCTTCAGAGCTAGCATCCAGGCCTTCGAGGAGGATGAGGTCCCAAACTGGTAGGTGCTGCTATCTTTAAAAAAAAAAAAAAAAAAAACAAAAAAAAAACCACTAGAGCTGGGCGTGGTGGTACACACCTTTAGCCTTAGCACTTGGGAGGCAGAAGCAGGCAGATCTGGTTTACCTAGCGAGTTCCAGGCCAGCTGGGGATATAGGGAGACCCTGTCTCAAAAAGACAAAAACAGAAGAAAAAAAAACTAATAAAGTTCTGGGAGTATTGGGAGAGCTGGAATCAGATATTGCTCCTGAAGCAAACTGGAGTGAAAAGATGATCTGAGGAGAAGAAGAAGAAAAGGGATAGGAAGTCAGTCCCCTTTTCCTTCTTCACCCTGGCCAGTTCTACTGTCCCCTACTGGCAGCGTAAACTAGAAGCTGGCTGGCAGAGGAGAAATAAGGTTTGTAGATGTTGCCTCAATCTGGTAATCACAGTGTGTGTGTGTCTGTGTCTGTGTGTACATGCAAGCAAATGTGAGGCATAGCAACAATAGTCTAATAAGCAGTACAGCAGAGCTGGGTTCTTCGAAATTCTTCAGAGGGTTATAAAGCACACACAAAGCTGTAAAGTGCATTGTTTGCAACTTATGTCATGGTAATCATAGTTAATTTATATATGAATAGTGCTTTCCAGGACTCTCCCCCTGCTTTTGTGTAGGATGTCTATTCAGAATTCAGCCATCAGCCTCACCTTGCACTAAAACACAAAAAGAATGAGAAAATCATCAACCACAAAATACATAGGTCATCAACCTATCATCTGGTACCTGACATGTGCATCGAGGTCCTAGGATGCCCCAACTCTTGGACAGACTCCCTGCTGTGTTGATTTTGGTAATTTCCCAGGCAATGTATCCATCCACTCAACACCCTGCTCCTCATTTCCCTGTCCTATGTAGCTACTCAACTTCTTGCAGCCAAATCCTCCACCCCCATCTCCCCCTGGGTCTGATGTCCTACTGTGTTACTAGATTTTGCCTGAAGAACTTCCCAACAGTCTCCTGACACTGCCCTCAGGTTCCTGGATCAGGAAAACAGGTGTGAGCTGAAAATGTCTTAGAAAGCCAAAAAGTTTGGTCATTTTATGCTTTACACGTCTGTCGAAATAATTTAAAAAGTAACTGGAAAGGTGGCTCAGCAGTTAAGAACACTGGTTGTTCTTGCAAAAGACCCGGGTTCGAATCCCAGCACCCACATGGCAGCTAACAATTGTCTGTAACTCTAGTCCTAGGGGGTCCAACAGCCCTTTGCGGGCATTGCACAACACGGGTGCACTTACCTACATGCAGGCAATACACGCATACACATAAAATAAAAATAATAAATAAAATTTTTTTTAAAAGTAACTTTACTGGGGTATAATCTACATGCCACAAAATTCACCTTTTAAAGTACGTAGTTCAACCAGGCTTGGTGGTCCAGGCCTACAATGCTCCTTACTAAGGAGGCTGAGGTAGGGGTACTAAAAGTTCAAGACCAGCCTGGACAGGTAAGTGAGACCCTATCTCAAAAAGTGAAAAGAGAGTTGGGGACATCATTCAGCAGTAGCGCTTTTCGTTAGTGTGTGTGAGGCCCTCGGTTCAGAATCCAGTAAGGGGTGCTGTGGGAGAGTGTGCAACACAAATTCACAATTCAGTAGTTCCAGTGTAGTCACTGCTGCTAATGCAGTTCTCCCCCCCAGGGTCACCTGTATTCATTATCAGTCACTCCTTGCTCCCATTTCCCTCAGCCCTTGTCCCTTCCCTGTAAGTAGCATGTTTATCTCCCAAACCAGAGATAACTCAGTCTGAGACTTTGGTCTGGATCATCAAGGCTTCCCTGGGATCACATTTGAAGTCAGAGTCCCACTTTCCTTCTAAAAAGATCTTTAGTTTTTCTACAAAGCAGAAACAAATTCCAAGAAGCTTCTGGCCTTTTAAAAAAAGATTTATTTTATTTTTTAATTGTGTGTGTGTGTGTGTGTGTGTGTGTGTGTGTGTGTATGTGAGTGCAGGTGACTGTAGAGGTCAGAGGCAACAGGTTCCTCTACAGTTGGAGTTACAGGTAGTTGAAAGCTTCCTGATGTGGGT